ATGAAAGGCGAGCGGAGGCCATCTGTAGGCCTTTTTGACTCTTCCATTTTTCCAGCTCCCTTTGACAATGAGAATACTATTTGAACAGTTACTATATTTAATCACAATTGGAAATGGAGACATGCATCAAAATTAGTTACTGAAATACGGAGTGATGAGTATGGTTCTCAGCATATCCCAGAAGGATTTTTGTCTTCTACATAATCATACTACACCATTTATGCTCACCCAAATACATGCTTTAACTAAGTGAGTTCAGATCCAGCACCACCTTTCTCAGACATCGGCTAGGAAAAGGTTTCTCCACTGACTGATCTTGCTTTCACACCAGTAGGAATGCAATTCACTTCTGGATTTGGAATCTGACTTCCAGTACTTTATGCAGGAAGATTTATATGTAAACATTTATTCTGAAGGAACGAGTAAGATAATCTCATCAGCAGCATTGGATAAGTGACATTTTCTGCCTAAACAGGTATCTTATTAGAATTTCTAAAGGCTTTTAGAAACAGCAGGAAATGTACTACTGTTCATCTTACAGTACTTTCAGTAATTGTGTTCAAACATGCTAGCAATTCCTGAATAAACAGATTTGAGACGAACAATAGATTACTTTTGCCAAACAAAACAAAATTAAAATACGGAGCTCACTGCCAAAAGGGATTGTCAAGTCTGAAAGAATCACGGGAGGATAAAATTAAAATGTATGGAGGAAAAAAAAAAAAACACAACCCTTTATCTTTTCTTTCACACCACAAACTCTTGGTGGCCATCGCTGCTCACAGGATACAAGGCTCAATATATCTTTGGTTATAATCTAATGTACACCATTAACATGATTTTGTCAATTTTGTTAATGGATAAATTTCATTCACATTTTTGCATCCTACCCCTAAATACTACTTTTGTCACAAATACGTGATATGTATTTTACCATAATTTGTGATTAGTTTTGCATTAACATATTTATGATCACTTGCTTTTTAATAAGAACAAGCAATACTGCATCTTCTAAAAGGAAAGTGCTTTCCAGTTCTATGAGATAATTTTTTTCCTAAATACTGCAATATCATCTTGGGCAATATCACATCTAAAAAGACTTGCCTCTTGGCCATGATCAGCCATAAGCATGGTTAGAAACCATCTACAGCAATTCAGTTTGCATCACAAATACTATCACAAAAGGCTGTTACCAAGCAGCCTCTTCACAACAGGTGAACCAGTATCTTTTTATTCCCCGCTCGCTCCTCAGGCACTAGACAAATCATTACTGTCACAACTTTCAGGCAAAGAAAGGGGCACAAAATAATTCAATTAAACAGATATAAATAAATAAATTTTATTAAAAAAAAAAAAAAAAAAAAAAAAAAAAAGCTGTTTTCCATTTAAAACTCCCTTGACTTACCTTATAGGTAATTTTGACACCCATCAAAGTTATAAAAAGCTTATAAGGTCTGTAAACTTTCTGAGTTTAGTAGATATACGCAGATATACGTAACTGCGGATTGTTAGTATTTTCCTGGAACAATTCACAGAGGTTTATATTGGGTTACATGAAATACTAACTATGGTTATACTAATGCTTAATACGTTAGACTGCTGTTAACTTAGAGCAGGAAACTGAGGAGCTGACCAATCCACAGAACAGCTCTCAAAAGCTTACTGCAAATACATTTAGTATCCTTCAGGATCAAACCTTTAAATACAAGCAGTAGACACCAATAACTCAGTACTGCCCCTAGACATTTGCAAGAGTGTAAGTGCTCTTCTTATCTGAACGGCTGGTGATGCATGCCTTGTGAATGCAAGCTTTCAACCTGTATGCTACACCACCCTCTGGTACTGAGGTACAGTCACATCCCAGCAAGTAGGGCACAGAGATGGAACTAATCTTAAAGTGCTGTATTTTTGCATGCCTTGTACAATTGCTTTCACTCACACGTGTGCACTCCTTAGCATTTTGTCAAGTCACACATTCATGTACCCTCACCAGAGGATACACAGAATCAAATTCACAGACCTGTGAATACGCACACTTCTCCCTCAGAAGCAAAGGCTGCTCGGATGTAAGAACCCCTATATGAGAGAGTCCATTCAATTAATATGTGAATAGTTCAGATGCTAATAAAACACTGGGCCAACACATTATGACAGAAGTACACAGAAATCCCTGAATATTTAAATGCACAGCAAGACAAAAAAAAATCAGTTCAATAGTGAGCAAGTGTCCTGACTTTGTTTGCACACACTCAGTGGCTGAAGTAATAGTTAAATAATGAAGTATTGGCACTTATGAGAATTCTTGAAAGCCTAAAAGCCAATACTTACAAACAAGCATAGGGTGCCTCTAGCTGCCAAGGACACTGGTCTGTAAAAAAAAAAAATAAAAAAAATGCATCACACACATTTGGCCCTCAAAAACCTCAGTGGGATGCTACACATTGCTTTGCAATGAATCCCTCATTCAAGCACTTGCAAAATCAGAAGAAACAACTCCTCTATGAAAATAATGATACACCATCACATTTTACGGAGAGCAAATTTGTCATTTAAAGTTGAAGAGTCTCATGGGAGACACTTCAGTCTGCTGACACGGATACAAGACACAGTTTAGAGGTTGAAGGAGGCCATCTAACACAGAAAACTTCTCTCATACCAAAGTTCTTCACAGCTAGTTGACATGTCACTACTGTTCTCACTTCTCTTTTTAATAGCAATGATAGAAATATACTGAGCTGGGAATTTAAAAAAAAAAACAAAACAGTTAATATGGGTACAAGTTGCAAAGTTCTCAATTCTGTTTTCAGACACCTTGGACCCTTAATGCATACAACTGCCAATTAAAAAAGAAAAAGTCAACTTTAACATTAAGAGTGCACAACCAGCAAGCACACAGGGTAGCTGCAAGACACATTGCAATAACAGAATAACGTACTGCAGTGAAGTTTTTTGGGTGTGCATGCCACAGAAAGCTACAGTCAGCTTTCTGGTTAAAGAGCTATATTTCTCTTTCTATTGTTGTTCAGAAGTCAAATGAAGAAAAATCTCCTGAGATCAATCAAATTACAATATAAATATAATAAAACCCCTACTGACTCTTATCCCACTTGAACACTATGCAATTAAAAAAAATATAATAATTAACCTCAATACTGAAGTCTAGAAACTGAAGGTTTTGTATATCTAGCTTATACTTCTGTTCTTCATACACAGTGTAAATTTTCCCTATGCCATTCAAGTAATAACTATGTTAAAACAATGCTATTAAGTTGGCATGGTTAGGCACTCAAGATTTAACAAGTCATAGGCAGAACAGAGAACTGTCCTCTCTGAGTGTATGCGTAGGGTTGGAATCTTTAACTACATGGACTAATTTTATCTAAGCATTTCCTGCCCTCTTCTGCTCAGAAGGTCAGGGACAAACATGAAAAAGGGGACCCTGGTTCAAGACCAGGGCAATTTGAAGGTCATTCTCAGCACCAGCTGAGTTGTCATCTTTCACGAAGCACTGACTGTGAGAGAATTCTCTTGCACATTTCCATTCAGACAGACTCAATGCCTGTTGAACAACCTGGGCTACCCTTAAAAAACAAGCCAACAACCACAACTGAAAATAAAGATTTACATACAATCCTTATAAAAAAGCACAGAAAAAGTAGAAATATAACTTCCCTCTGTTTCTTTTGGATGGAAAGAGCTTAATCTTTCTCCATAGGTGCCAAGATCTCTAATTACAACTCTGTTTGACCCCAAGAAAAAAAGCTACCTGGGTAAAGAAAGAGATGATACACTACCATAAAGGAAATTAGTGATAGAGAAAAATACAAGACATTTCATCTATGTTTTAAAACCCCTGAAGACTGTCATTTTAAGTTAACAGACTCGAATGAAGTCTTGCAGCACTATGACACTCAAACTATAGTCAGGTACTTGCTTTATAATATTTCATCAAAAATACATCAAAGGCAGTGGATAATATATACATTTTAAAATAGAAAATACATATAGTAGTCTATTTTAGGACTGTAGAAAGCATGAGTTCTACCTACACTACATTTTAATCCATATGGTACACAATTAACTTGCTGGGTAGCATCTTGCTTGACTGAATGGCATGAAGTTAGAAAAGGATGCTCAGGAAAATCACGTGGTCTTTAAGTAAACAAAACCAAAATTCCTATCTGCTTTAGTCAGGCTGGCAGACAGGCTTTTCTCAGTTCTCAGCCTATTAAATAACATGAAAAAGTGAAAAACCTCTGACAGAGAGCAAAGATTTGAAATTCCTTTCACTCATAAACCAGCAGGACTGGCTTTCTACCATAGCCCATCATCAGGAGATTCTGCATTGTACAGACCTCACCCAAATTTAGTTCAGATTCAACTGGAAAGGCCAGGTGATATTTCCTCCAATGGCTTTGGTGGCTAAGCAGTGTTTTGCTGTGGGAAAAACAAAACAAAAAAACAGAACCGCTTTTGAGCTGCTGGTGGTTGATCCCCAGGGAAAGGGGCTTTCCAGCTGCTAAAGCCAACTGATGATCAACAGAGAGCTAAAGAGACCAAACCTAAGAATGACTCCACCTCACAACCCAAATCAGCAGAAACAGCAAATGAGGCATGAGGAAACCTTAAAGAGACTAAAAGATAAAGTGCAACTTTCCTTGTACCCAAAAGCTGTGTATACAGTTTCACTGTAACTTAAACATTTATTTGATGTATCAGCTATCCAGCTGCATAGGATGTTTCAAGATCTATTGTCTCAAACAAGGGTGCTAATCTAAGGTAAAAGATGCTGTGCAAATACTGCCATTAGACATGAACATAGTTCTTAAGGAAAATACACTTGTGAAAAATTTTGCTTTTGAAATCATTTCTAGTCATTTCACAAAAAGAAATCAACACTGAAAGCATATTAAAAGAAATTTCAATTTGGATGTTCTAAGACTTACTAGAAAATTACATTTAAAATAAATAAATAAATAAATAAATAAATGCTGGATGAATTTAATGGGAAAAAGTGCTATTTTTTTTCCTGCTATGCAATATGTCTGGAAAATGATTTGATAATGAATTCCCAGGCTTTGAATTTACACAATAATTTTAAATAACTACACTTGATTCTCATCTGATAAACCGAGATTAAAAAAAGCAAAATTCATTAGCGTAACAGAAGCCTAATCTGATGCATTCCCAACAAGCATGAACATTTTATACTAGATTAGATGTAAATTTCACAAAGAATGAAGAAGTGATGAATAATTTGCTTCATTCATTACGAAACAAAGACTTTTAACCTCAGACTCATAATTTGATCTCATCCTTGGTTTTTGTGGTGGTTCCCTCTGAAGGTGTATCCTCATCAAGGTTATCTGGTAGATCTGACAACACATCATTTGAACAATTCTCAGTGTCACATAAAGATTTATCTATAACGCCTGGATGATTTCCGCAGTCATTGTTCATATTTTCATCATCCTTTTTGGAATGAGAAGTGTCCTCTTTTTTGTCCGAAGGATCATGAATTTCTTCTGATTTTGAAAGCTGACCACTATCAGTACCGCTGTTCTTTTCACTGCTCTGCTTAACAGCATCACAGTTCATTTCTTGTTCATACTGATCATTTTCTTCTCCATTTTTTGTGAGTTCTACTTTTCTCTCTTCAGCTGCTTTACTAGCTGAGGTTCCGCTCATGGATGTACTCTTAGGCTCTTTCAGTTTCTTATGCTTAGAAATATAACTACTGTGCACAGAAATTGGAGATGCTGGCTTTTTATTTGTTTTGCTTCCCTCTGACTTCTGTTTTCTTGGGGGTCCCCAGATAAAATGCTCTGATGGTGTATAATGCTGCTGAGCAAATCTCAGGAGCTTTCTCCTTTCTCTTCTGTCTCTAATAGTATACACAAAATACTCTAGAGCACTTTGCTTAATATTGGGAATGGTATCTTCCACAAGAGCTTCATGGAGAATAAATTTTACCAGGGGAGATTTGAAACTCTCATATCCAAGTTCACCAAGACTTTTCAGAATTCGAGTGATTCTCAAGTAGTTGTGTTGAGACCTTTGGAAGAAAAGGTTAAAAAAAAATCCATTGAATCAGAAAAGAAAAGCCTTACAGAAACAGAACTGGAAATACAATTTCTCATTCATTTTTAATCACTCAAGATATATGCTTCAAGCTTTCTGCAGTTTTATTTCTCACAGCTGATGAAGCCTGCCAGTACCTCCTTTGCAAGGATGTTGGGACCGAAAATTAATGTCTGGCAAAAGGTACTGAGGCAGTAGATGAAATAAATTTATCTTCTGGAATTTCTTCTGAAGTGTGAAGTCCCTCATAAACACAAATAAGTAAACAGTATAACTTAAACACCTAAAATTTACACAGCAGAAGTTAGGTTAAAAGAATCACAACTCCTGATTTAAAGTAGTATAGCTGCTCACTAGTATTATAATGAGTAGCTACCTGGTATACAAATAAACTCTCATGTGATTACTTTGTATTATGACAACATAGTAACTACAACATATGAATGCGCAGTGAGTGACGTGTGGGTCTCCTGAAACCTCATTTTATCTGTGGCCTGACTCTGATCATGTCCCTGTTAGTTGGCACATAAAATTTGAATGAAATTAGTAACAAATTATCCCTATTATTCAGATTTAGCCACCAGCAATCCTACCTTAAGAAACAAGTTTTCATTTAGACAGGACAACAAAATACTGCAAGAAAACTGCTAGGACCTCTGGCCTTAGAGCTAAAAATAAAACAATCACAAGATGTGAAAAGAAATTTTAAAAACACTGCACTGGACAAATTTCAGTGCAAACTTACTCTCCCTATAATGATGAAGTAAGGTGACAAATGGTCTGCTGCTGAAAGCTGAAGGTAAGCTTTGACTCAATACAAGTCTAAGCACTGTAGTTAATAAATATCAAATTCAAAATAGAATGTGTTTTGAGGAGGGAGGAATATCTCTGTTAGTCAGCTTTCATACAGGTGTGGAGAATTTGATTTTCCTCAAGAAAAAAGTGTCAGAACAAAGACAAGCAACCCATTCACTATAACTGAGGAGCTGAGCCTTAAGATCAAGTGACAGCATTCTGTAGCAAGACAGACAAATTACTTTGGTACTGTGATCTTTTTCAACATCACCTCAAGTTGTGTACAGAATGCAAGGATGTCAGCTCCTGAACAGGGAAGAAGCACAACCAAAAGAGAGGACTTTGGGACCTTCCAGAGTCATTGCAGGGGAGTTGGACTGGATAACCTTTAAGGTTCTCATCCAACTCAAATGATTTCATTATACAATTTTATGATTCAAAGAAAGGGGAAGGAAGAATGTACAACAGACACAAACTAGACATTGAGTATTTCTTTTTATCTTTTTTCCTGGCAACTTTCAGAAAAATATATCTTCCCTTTCTGTAGGAAACAATAGACTAAAGAGATTCTACAGCAATTCTACAGAGTTGAGTGCATGTCATTACTTACTCATTCAAATGCTGAAATCTTTCTTGCCAGTTAGCAGCTCGTGCTACGTTTCCAGTTTTATCAATTAGTTTTATTCCAAAAAATTCCAGCATCATTTTGTAAGCCAAAAGGAATCTCCTAATTGCTTCTTTTGTTTTCTTGAACTCCTAATAAAGAAAACATCCAAAATCCAAAGTGACATTAAAGCAAGTACTTCTGCATTGTATAAAAACAACTCTGCATAACAAGAAGTAGTTATGTATCAATATTAATGTGCTGGTTTGTTTTAAGGTCAACTTGTATTACCTCAATTTCATATGTAGTTAATTCTTTCGCATAGAAGTTCAGACCTTGTTCCCTCAGTGGGAAAAGCCTGTTAAAAGAAACAATGAATTACAGCTGACAGTACATAAACACTTAATCCATTTAATCCTTTGAAATAGAAATAGGTAGTAAGTGACCAACCACTGTATGTACGTGTGGTTATGTTCCAGTTTTTCATAATCTCCTTTCCATTTGTTTAGGACTTCTTCAATATAAACTCCTGCATTAAAATAATTAGAAAAAGTTGTTAGGTAGCCACCAAAACCAGCTTTCAGCTACATAAAGAAGTGCAAGTGTATCATACTGACAGAATATATGCTTTAATTTTCTTCCACATACTGTGTAAAATAATGTCTATTAAAAAAACTAATTTATTTAATTGATGAAACTTAATTAAAAATAAGAGTTTTATCAAATTTTAATTAAAAAAAAAATCAATTGACTTAAAACACCTAAGGGTACATGACAATAACTTAAAGAAATACAATTTTCAAAATATTCTCATTTTCTAGTTTTCTTTATCACACTGACTGGTAATTGACAAACCACTTAAGTATATTATTGAAACATGAGTCAACTGCCATTGCTTTAACACAGGAAAGCTCTGCATATTTATCATCTTTCTGGAATAGGCCTCAACACTTCAATAAATTTTTCGTTCTAGGGATCTCTCCAGCTGCAAGTAATGTTAAGATTCGAAAATCTTTGGCAATTTTCTGTGGCCAAGAGTATCGATGCCATTGCTGTAAGTCGGAACTTGGAAGCTCAGGTCAAGCTCATCAAATGGAAAATTCAGCTTCCAGTAGTCTGAAAACAGTTGTGGCATTTAATCAGTTCCTCTTGCAATGACAGAGCGACAGAAAAAGGAGACAAAGTACACCTAAAAAAAAATGAATCATTCTTCACATCAAGACTACGGACATGAAATTCAGTTACAGACCAGGGTGTCTTTTCATTGTACACATGCATATAAGGACATTACTTGTTCCAAAATCTATGCTCTCTTCCCATGAACAGACAGTATTAGCATATTTTTAGTCTGAAACCAGCAGTTCAAACATGGCCTCTCCCAAATTCAGATAGCACAGGAGTGACCTAAAAAGCCCAAAGCCCCATTTGAATGGCTCCTATTACACATGGGATACCTCTGCCTAGTGAAAATGTTCCATGTCAGTCCCAATAAGTAGTGAAAACTCCCTTTGTACTTGAGAGAGAGAGAGAGAAGCCAAAGAGATAAGAACACAAAGTTTACAGTGCAGGCAAGGCTGGAAGGTCCAGAAAGGATCTGACTAAGAGGCTCTCCTGCCCTCATCACACCCCACAGAACTTGTAAAGTAATTATGTTTCAAGTATCAGAAAGCTTCCCACTGAATTCCAAGGTCTCACGAACCCAGGACTAGGATAAGGTGGTAACAATTCTTTCCCATCCTCAAATACCTTCACAGTCAGAGCTCTTGTCATCATGACCTCAGCTTTCATGGCCTATCAGCTAACTCTTGACACCACCACTCATGATTTTCTCCTGAAAGAGAAAATTTTAAAACTTGCCAAAACTAACATTTGTCTTAGGAGGCAAGGCCTCCTCTAGCTTTCAAGACTCTTCTCCTGGCTAATCCTCTAGAATAGCTCCTTCCTCTTCCCAGCCTTTAAAGGATCACCCAAAACGTTTTCTGTTTCGGGCTCACATGGTCCTCTGAACCTTTCCCTTTCTTTCTTGATCTACTCTCTGCAAGTGAATTTGCTGGTAACTCACAGATCTAAGTTTTCATCTAGCCAAGCTGAAAATGCAGTCTTCAGCATCAGCCTGCGTATATCTAGATCTAAAATTCAGGATTATTATCTTTCTTTTGCATAACCTGACCCATCTTCTCACTTGCTGAGGTTATCATCACTCAATTTTTTGCCTATCAACAGCTGTCATTTTCAACCTTCCAGGCTATCCTGACATCTTTACATCCTTCTTGATAACGTTCCAGCTTTCCATCAGAATTTAGATATTTCATCTCAACATTGTTTTTCTTGACCTTGAAAAGCGCATTGTTGCCACCTTTACATCTACTTTGAATGCTGCTGAGAACATGTTTCTAGATAACAGCAGCTTTTTTTCTTCTAACTTTACACTGATTTTTTATTTTTTTTTTTGCTGTGTTCTTCCATTGTGAGTCTGTGAAGTCCCTTTCTGTAACATCAGAAAAAAAGATATATAACTTCACTTTTGTGATCTGCCCAATCCTACGATGTCACAACCTGTTTGCTGCTAAGAGATTGATTCCTGCCTCTGACCAACCCTCAACAGCAGCCTCCACTTCTCACTCCTTATGTATTCAAACATACACTTTTGTATTTCAGCTCCTCTCACGCTGAGAAAATCTCTCTGCATAAATCTTCAAAGTAACCTTCTCATTCTTTCAGAACTCTGCTGCGAAGTTTTTTTTTTTTTTTTGTCAATGGCTGAGCTCTCATGTGTCAAGACTCCTGCCTATCATTCTAACCAGCACTGTTTTATTGTCTCCTTCTGCTTCCCCCATCTGTCTGCAGCCAAAGTATGAGAGACAAAAGGATGGCAAACTCTCTAGAGCAAGGTTTGTCATTTTTCAGCTTGCTCTGTGTTTGCACAGTACCTTGCACGTGAGAGCCCTGCTTCGTTACCAGAACCACCAGGGACACTGATTATTATATTACTGATAACAAAACAATTTCTCACACATGAGGAAGTGACAACATATTCATTTTCCCCTCACATGGTGCTAGGAATAACACCCTAAGCCCTGTCACTCCTTTTCAAGCAGTAAGAGTTTGTTAAGCATGGTGGAACAGCGTTATCTTTGTTTAACAAAAGGCAGTGCCACTAGTGTAAATGTGTTGTGCTAACAACATGGTATCACATTTTTCAGCACAAGAAAAGCATGACCTGTCTAGAGGAGAAGCAAACTTTAGTTTAAGCGTTATCAGCTTCTGTGTTATCTACATGCTAGTCCAATACAGGAAGTTCAAAGCATACAATATATAGCCGTACACTTCTAATTTATCAGTTAATAACAGTTTCACTCTGTTATTGTTCTGAGTGAACATTCTACTGTTATCATTATCACTGTCACAGATTACTCACCGTCAGGTTTAAAAGGGATTTTATTTTTGTAAAAGCGGAGATTGCACAAGTCATTTTGGTATCGAAGATCTTTAAAGTTCTGCTGGAAGAAAGAAAATAGGACATTATCAGCCTACAAAACATAACCCACTACTGAGAACACCCACAAAGTGACATTCTGCTCTTTGAGTAATTTGAGGACAATAAAGGTTCAGCATTTTAGAAAAACTGAAAGAACTTCAAGATTCAGCTCAGGTAAGCAGTTTAGAGATCTGCCAGTTCCCTCTGACCACCTCCTTCTCCTACTGAGGAGAAACAGCAAGCATAGCAGCACCTGGACTTCTGGCCCAAGGAACTTCCAAGAGACCAATAATACATTATCCAGACCCCTCTTCAGTCTTCAATACATACATCTCTTTCTGGGATTCTGTCACTATTCCCAGGCTTGCACACCTCATGTGTTTGTGCATATATCTAAGATGAAAAGATACTGCCCTTGTTTCATCCCCCTCTCACCGGCATACATTGGGCTTTTCCAGCAGCTTTATGACTATTCTTATTTCTCATATTTATTAAGCATCATTACATTCAGGATTTTCCAGGTTGTGTGCTGCTCTCTACTAAAAAGAGAATTTTAAACCGTAAAATATTCTTACTGGATACTGATGTCGGTACTTGTATAAATCCCTTGCTGCATAGAAGCTTCTCTTTGGCTTGGCTGTCAGCTCTGTTCCATCACCACTCTGAAACATTTAAAAAGTAGATAATAATGGTACACAAACACACCAAATACTGAACCTAAGTAATATTAAAGTAATTATTTTTTCACAATATTTCAGCAATGTAAACATACACAAGTACACACATTTGCCTACTGTCTGGTCAAACACCAAACATCTTTCTGCTGAATACATACACATACTTACTCCCAAATTTAAAAGGTAAGACTTTGAAATAACCAAGATGGTGCTAACAGAAGATTAAATAAGTAACTGAATGTGAAAATGCTAATTTTGAACAGGAAACCACACTATTTGCAAATAATATTTGTCATTTGTATCTTGACTTAATCGCTTTCTCCGCAATCTGTGAAAGAACACAGTCACAGACAAGCCAATCTGTAGTTCAAATGCCTTCACGAACCATTCTGTATTATTCTTTCCTTAGAACTTAAGTTTAAATCCTAGTAAGAAATACTACTAAGGTCCCAAAGGAAAACCTGCAAAGAGAAAACGCATTTGTACAAGGCCTTGCCTTGAACAGCAGCTGTTTGTTACAACCTGAAACAACCAGAGCACATCAAGGTCAATGGAAGTCATTCCACTGACTGGTGAGAACACTGGAAAAACCACCATGTATTGAAGAAAAAGAAGTATTGCTCTACAGAGCAATTCAACTTGCTGCCAACCACTTTATTTTCTACACTATTTCTTTATACCGTACCATACCGTAGCAAAGTGATTTGGATTGTTTCATTTACTAAACTAAGTTTCTACGCTAAGACTACAGGCCAAATAAGGGGGAAAAAAAATACAGTAATTCCACACCTTGCCACAGATTAAAGTCACATCTAAAAAGAGAAACTCCTGCGATCACAATTTATTATCGTACACTCATTGCTTATCAGTATAACACTGCTGACAGGCATTTGTTTCCATGCAGCCCAACTCTGACCGCAGGCAAAACGCGCTTACCTGAGCGAGCAATAGCCCCTGATACGGGCATCAGCAAGCCACCGGTACCGTGTATCAAGTAGAAATGAAAAAAATGAATGCTTAGGCTTGTTTAATTTTGCACAGCGGCAGTTCGTAAGCCAAAAACCCAGACCCAGTCGGTCCACCTTGCGCTGGGGGCAAACTCCAGCGACACTGACGGCCAAGCGGAGCTGCGGAGAGACCCCGCTCAGAGCCGGCGGGTGCCACGCCTCCCTGCCACGCCTGTCCCAACGCCCCGGCTCTTCTGCCATTCAACCCCGAGGCCGAGTTCCAGACTAAACGCAACGCAACGCAACGCGGAACCTTCGCTGGCAGCGGGAGCAGCGCTCTCGAGGCCCCGCTTCTCTCAGCAGGGCTGTTCGGTGCCGGCGCGGTACGACCCGCCTCCCGGCCCCGCACGGAGCTCCCGCAGCCGCGAGCGGCCGGGCCCGACGGATGGAGGCGGGCTGACGGCGGCCTCTTCCCCGCCCGAGCACCCGCGCCGTTCCTTCCCATGGAGATGCGGAGGTCCGCACCCCGACACGACGCCTCCGGTGTCGGGAGCAGCCCGACCCGCCCCGGGTCTCCCCGCCAGCGGTTCCGCGGATCGGGGCGGCACACCGCCTCGCTCCCTCCCTCCTTCCGCCCCTCCGCAGCGCGGGCCGGACCCGGGCTCGTCCCGGCGCGGCGGTACCTGCTCGGGGCCGCCGGCGTCCCCCTCCGCCCGCTCCCCTTGCTCCGGCGGCCGCGGAGGCTCCTCGGGCCGGTCGGCGGCGGCGGCGGGCGGCTCTTCCCCGCCTCCCGCGGCGGTGCACACCCCCTCCCGCTGCTGCTGCTGCTGCTGGCGCCGAGGCTCCCCGCCGGGCTCCGGCGCCTCGGGCTCCGAGTCGGTCTCCCAGGTGGAGTCGCAGTCCTCCACCGTGGTGGGCTCCTTGAAGCTGACGCCGCTCAGCAGGCCGCCCATCGGGCAGCGCCGGGCCGCCGCCGCGCCTCCCGGAGGCCGCGGAGGCCGAGGGCTGGGAGCGGCCGCCGGCTGCCTACGGCTGCGGCATGGCGGGGCGGGGCCGGGGCCGCCGGGGCCGCTCCCCCGCCCGGCCCCAGCCCACAGCCGGGCGCGGGGCGGAGCTGCGGGTCCGGGGCTTCCGCGGGAGGCGCCCGGGCGGCGGGGGGAGAGCGTGAGAGGGGCTCGGGCCGCGGGGCGGTGCTGCGGGGCAGAAGCGGCGTCGGGAGCGTCCGAGGAGAGCTCGGCGCCCGCCGGGACCAAGCCGGGACGAGCCGTGTCCGTGTCCGTGTCGAGAAGATGGCAGCTCCTTCTGCGGAGCCGCTCGTTTTGTGAGCGGCTGCGTGCGGACACGGGTCGCACAGCACACGGGTTGGGTTCCTGTGAGGAGGGCTGCGTGCTGCCCGGGCGGCTTCAGCTCTTCCCGAAGTCCCTCGGGCTTTGGGAATAAAACTGATACGGCAGCGCAGGGCGGGTTTGGCTGGGTAAGGCACAGGGCTTTGTACTTGGCTAGAGCATGCGTTTTGGACAGAAGCATTGCCTGGAGAGAAGAGCTGGTGAGATGGAGGCTTATTCTGTTGTTGCAGTGGCCGTGCTCAACTCGGGGTTAAAAATGTGCTCTTTGCTTCTAACCAGAATTGTCAGGTCGACCATCTCTGCCTTCTTCCTTGCAGGCTGTTTGTTGGTATCCATTGTATGGAGCACTGGTTAGTGCTGACCAGCTCAGCTTGCCCTCCTGTTACGGCTTTTATCCATGCTTCCCACGTTGACTGTGTTTACATTAGGGACAGCAGAACCTCACGAGTGCACCTTGCACGTGAATCCAAAAACAGGTGAAGATTTTGTTAATCTTTAACTTGTATGGCAACTGATTTCACACACAGATCTTCCGGTGAGAAAGCTCTCTCTTGTACAAATAATTGCACCTCATTATAGAAAGCTCAGTTATACCCGAAGAACAAACTCCTGTCAGCTTTGCTTTGTCAACTCATCACGGAGTTTTAGGAGGCCTTTTTAATGATCTGGAACTCAGGCCACTGATAAGAACTGGGAGTCAAATTAACTGACTTGGTGTCATCATTGGGCAGTGCCAAGGGTAGAGGGTTGCTTTGACTTGCTTTTGGTAATCCAAATAATTGAAGTGATGTGATAGAGTTTCCTGAACTACTGGGAATTATTTTTGGGGTTTCTTAAGAGTTGATAGCTGAGGACACCATATTGCTTGCAATCCAAGAGATGATAGAACTGAGGCTGGCTGAAGTCTGGGTAGTACGTGTTTTGTTAGCCAACCAGATATGTTGTAAGGCATTAGTCATTGCCTTGAAGGAGTTTTATCAGACAACAAGCTAAAAGAGCTCTCAAATTAGAAACTGAATTGAGTGATTGTTGGTATGGCACTCCAAAAAAACAACAACGACAACAACAGCAACAACAACAAAAAAACCAAAAAAACACCCAACCCCTCTAAATAATCATCTGAATTATTTTTGTTTTAGCTGTAGTCAACTCTCATGCAATCAGTTTTCATCCTTTAGCTTACTATTGGACTAGTGGCTAGTTTCTGAGTGAGTCTGATGAAGAAAAAGAGGATTGAACAGCTCTTATGTAGATTAACGTCCAGAAAGAACCACTAGTTGTGAAGAGATGGGGCACCTGGTTTGGGACCTGTCTGCACTGTCATGCAGCTGATTGAGGAAAAAAAGGTCTCTTTCCCTGAATGAGTCATTTCCTATTTTTGTCGTCAGTTACTTGCAGCTATGCCTCAGCTGCCCAGAGGGATTTGGAGTTTGGAGTCTTTGAGACGACAGTAAGACGACAGATCTTTGGGGCAGATCTGTACTTTGTCAGGCTTGTACGTTTTTCCCATGAACAATGTCTTCTTGCACAGATGCAGTTTATTGCTGGTTCCAGTTCTGAATAAGAGGTTGCCAGAATTCATGAAGACTTTTTAGCTCCTTACTTGGTTTCATAGGGTGGTATGTGAGAGTTTAAACAGATCTCTGCAAAACAATCTTTAATAATAAAAAAACATAATTTCAGTCATCTCACAGTCGTAATTGGTGGGCACATTTAGAAAGTGGTGAACTTCTGACACTTCAGTTCACCCAATTATTCCAGTACAAGAGAAGATTACTATGTGCTAAAGCCAGGAAGACCTATTTCAGTCAAATACTCTGACTTCTACATAACACAGGTCAGAGAAGTTCTTATCCCAGCCATCTTCAAAGAAAGTCAGAAGATCTTAAGAACTGGAGGCTGCTATTACATCAGTTACTGACTTTTTAAACATCATGTGAGAGTGCAGCCAGTTTCTCAAGAGGAATTAATCCATCTGTAGGATGCAGCAAGGCCTAAATAAGCTGCTCAGCACCAACTTCTAATTTATAGTTGTCCTCCACAACCCCCATAATGGACTGAAGCCAGCCGCCTGGGCCAGCGCTCAGCTTTCCTACAGCAGGGCTCCTGAACTGCAGTAGGAAAGCCATTGTATTTGGCTGTAGATCTTAGAAAGGAACTCTTTGAGAGAAACACCAGGAAAGTCCTTTGCATGGCCAGATGTGGGCACCCAGGTGCCCTTGGAGATTGCCTGCTGTATCCAACTGCTGCTGCAGGAAGAGCTCCAGAGCTCCACAAGTCACACGTGTACTTGTGAGCTCCATGCAGATGTCTTGGCTGGAATATCTCAAATACGTGATAGGCCTACCTATGAACTATGCCTGTATATGCCTGGCTGGGTGGATGAATCAGTTTGAGCTTCATTGATTAGAGTTTCATTGATTCTAGTAAGTGGACTATCAAGAAAGTTGCCTTTTCTGTGGTCATTAAACGAATAGCCATTCTCGTGCTCCATGAATAATAGATAATTATAGAACAGTAGAAGGAGGTGATGGTGTCATACATTGCTGATACATCACTACAGCGTGTGTTATTTTGTCACCTACAGCCTGTTCCCCACCCATCACGAGGAGGCTTGACTTGCAGTCCACTTAAAGCAGGGGCATCTGCTTCAAGTGCAGTCCAGCAGTAGCAACATGCAGACATGCCACTGCCAGCTGAAAATGAAGCAGACACAACCAGTGTCACTTTTGTTAGTCTAGATTAGGATCTCACTGTGGCCCTGTAAAGAATATTGTCAGCAAATCTTTTGTCTGTTTTCAAGACAGCTAACTCTGATCTTTCTTAACTGAGTTTTTGTATGTGACTGAGTGAATTTATGTAGTCAGGATGGTGCAGTGCAGCTATTTCAAAAATCTAATCGACTTCAAGCTTGACATGACTCATGGAACTCATTGAATTCCTACAAATTAAAAAAATGTCAGTGTTAAATGATAGGCATTTGTACAGTTCTGTACTTTGCTCTCAGAAGGACAGTTGTGGATCTCATGTGGTTCACCATGGACAGTTTGGAGAGGGCTGCCATCACTACCTCTGACAAACTCTGCAGCAATCAGTCCCACCTGGAGGTGGCACAAAGTCATTCAGTGTGAGTGAGACAACTAACTGCAGGCAGTGATTGCCACAGCCTGCTTTCCATCCTAACCTTTATCACGCTTAGTATATCAGCTGTACAAAACCTGTATAAATAAAAAAAAAAGCTGGTGAAATCAATCAGAAATGCAGTTTTTATTTAGGTTGCTGATCCTTCATTAAGGATTCATTCAGATTAAGGCAGATATACAGAGAGTGAGATATAACAGCAAACAAGCAAAACCAGAAACCATCAACAATACCGTCCTTCATTTTCTTATCATGGGCCCAGTGATTTTTACAGCTGTATGGGCTAATTCATGTAGTTAAACTACTGTGCATAGCACTAAAACACCAGCCCAGTCCTTGGCTGCATAGGGCACGGCTGTTTTTTCTGTGTTGGCCCTTCCTGGCATTCTTTGATGTCCCCTCGGTGTCTCTTGGATGTCCCTTTCTCCCCATCCCTGCCAATTTCTTGTTTATTCTTAGTGGGAAGGCTGGAGGGAGCAGACTGCACAGCTGAAGAGTTCAGTGGCTTTGGAGTGATGAGCAATAAATGGCCCACAGTTTGTGGCATAAAACTATTTAAGATGGAGCTGAAGCATGCAACACTTCGCAAACATGAGCTTCAGAGAAAACTCTCTGTAAGCAGTTGTATACACAGATACATAGTTTCTGGAATGAAAGATTTCTTTTTTTTTTATCTTATTGCTCCTATTATATATTCCTTATCACAGGCTTCCTTAGATCAGCACAGGACAGCCTTATCACCATGGTATTGTGCACTTCTAGTCTGAAGAAAGCACTTCAGTAGAGCCTGTAAAAGCCCTCCAGCCCTTTATCTGCTCAGTGCCACCCATGCATTAAGTGTTCTTGTCACCTGAATGGAGCATGCAAGGTGGCAAGAGCTGTAATACTATTGCATGTGACACAGAAGAGTGAACAAAGTGTAGAAAACTCTTCTGATATGGACAAGCTGAGTTATGCCTTAACAAGTAATCCTAAGGAATATTCACTTAAGGAGTCTGGTGCAGTAACTAAAATCATCTGAATACAGTAAGTGTGTGCAATATTCCAAAATTAGCTTGCTTGGCTTTGTAACATCCCATAGTACAGCCTGAACCCACCATGCAGCCTCTGTACAGTACAGGCAGCCTCTGATACGCTTGGGAAAGACATCACTGTTTTTTAAATCAGCGTTTGGCCAGGCTGAATGGACCAGTGGCATCCAAGTGAGTTCCCTCTGTTCAGAATAAAGAGATGAGTCAATAAGCACGTCATTGTCCTTCTGCATGTGGCTGAGTGGGTCAGCAATATATTGGTGGTCGTGTGCTCAAAATGCATTGAGTATTTTGATCAAATTCAGTACAGTACACTTTACTTGTAGCACACTTGCAGAACATTAAAATGGTGGCATTTTTTTGTTTGTGGTGTTTTATGGTAATGTTTCTTTGTAATGGGAACCTACCGGTTAAAATCAAGAGATAAAGTAAACATTGCAACAAACACACGTTAAAAGAACATGCTACTTGTTTG